GGAGTTAATTGTCTGCTTAGGAGCTCGAATAGCGCTGCGGTCTGCAATTCGAGCGGGATTCGGCACGAGAAGAACGCTGGTGACGCACCGATGGCTTCCGTCCTCGCCAAGAAATCCAGGGCTTTCCAGCTTCCCGCGCTTTGCTCGTGTGCGGGTGCACGAGAAGCTGGGAAGGAGCGTGGCCAGAGCAGCTGACCCCAACTGGCCGGTGGGATATGCCATACCATGTGATGTCATGCTCAGTAGATAAAGCGGGGGGAAGAAGGAAAGGGGGGACATTTGGAGTGATGCAATTGTCTTCCCAAGTAACCATTACACGTGACAGAGCCCTGCTTTCCTGTGGATGGAAATCCGTGGTCAGGGATTCTACAGATGTGCAGCTCTGGACTGATGAAAAGTGCAAGCGATTTAAAATACAAACTAGTAAGAAAACTTTTTTAGAAATGGAAGGTTAGCTTTAGAAGCAGTTGGTAACTACGAGGAAGTTGGAACTTAGTTGGGAACTATGCCTGCCCATGGGAAGTGGTGAAGGAATTCCTTGTTTTGCTTCGCTTGCTCATGCGTTACCCATTAAACTGCCTTTATCTCAACCCAGGAGTTTTCTCACTGTTACCTTTCCGATTATCTCCCCTGTCCCACGGGGGGGCGAGCAAGCGAGCGGCTGGGCGGGGCGTAAAAGCTGGAGTTACCATGACAAGGCTGTGGCCCCGCTTGCAGCTCCTCTGCTAGGGACGATGTGCTCCAGATGAACTCTGACATAAAAACCATTTTGTTAAATGAAGTCTCACACAGCTCGAAGAGGAACGCATGTGGCCTTGGATTCACCCCCGACACGGGCGGACTCCTCTAAGCCAGTGAAATACTGGATTTCCTTGGTGCTTTGAAGCAAATCTCTAGCCGCACATGGAATTACACCCCTGAAGCTTCAGGAAAAGTACACAAGGTCTGTTCACCGTAAGCTTTCACTAAAAAAGGTACAAACTGAGAATAAAATAAAGTAAATGAATTCTGAGCTCCCTCAAATCATAGAATTATTTGGGTTGGAAGGAACCTTTAAAGGTCACCTAGTCCAGCCCCTCTGCAGCAAGCAGGGACATCTTCAACTAGATGAGGTTGCTCAGAGCCCCGTCCAGTCCGACCTTGAATGCTTCCAGGGATGGGACATCTACCACCTCTCTGGGAAACCTGCTCCAGAGTTTCACCACCCTCGTAGTTACCAACTGCTTCCAAAGCTAACAAAGGGTATTCCTAAAGCTAACCTTCCATTTCTAAAAATGTTTTCTTACTAATTTGTATTTTATATCGCTTGCACTCTTCATCAGACTAGAGCTGCACAGCTGTAGAATCCCTGACCACAGAGATTCAACATTTATGTCCTCTGCACAGCCCAAGCGGCACGAAGTACTTGTCCCACAAAGTACATGTCCCACAGATGACAGGCTGTCGTGTTTAAAGAGGTAACGAGCTGCGAAATTTAAACCGGGATTTTTCCCAAGATGTATTTTTCCGAGCAAGCAAACTGTGCTTGTACAAACAGGACACGTTCAGCTATTCTACCTGAAGAAGTGCGTCTGCAGAGCATGAGGCAATCCCTTGGCCGTGAGTTAACCTGCTCTTCTTCTCTGCTACAAACGGGCAAGTGAAATCTTGGAAGTTTACGCACGAGGATTATTCTGAAAGTAGCTGGGTTTTACGTTGCTCCAGACCCAGCTTTGTACAAAACTTCAGTGCAGTTTTTGCACTGGATACCTGCACCAAACGGAACGTCCACACTTACCTGGGTACTTACAAGCCTTACTGCAAAACAGCATTTCAACACTGTCCTGAATCAAAAATCTTTATCCAAGCACCACTGAAGTACATATGCTCCATGTTGCATGAATAAGCTTTTGTTCTCCCTTCGAGACAAAAATTACTAGTGACGGTAATTTTGCTTTTACTTTACACTAAGAAAATTCTTACTGCCATTTCACTCAAAGCAAGGTTCACAGATAGCATACTCGTTCCATTTCACAAGGAACCATAGTTTGTTTTTTTCTTACTACCACCTCCAGATGCCAAAAGCCAATTAAAGTCAAGAACCGAGTACTTTTAAGACATTGTATGCCTTTGTCTTGCTTGGACAGCAAGGAAATACATGAATACTTAGCAATATAAAAAGGGTCTACACAAAAATGCTGTACACGGACTTCTGGCAACAGGTTGATCAAAAAAGATGAGGAAATACATGTCATTCACTACAGCTGAGAGAAGCAACAAGAACTACTAGGTCAACTGTTTAACTGCTTACTGATCCTTCTCAGCCCTTTGTCACATTCTGTCTTTGCACGAACTCAAAACACGGCACTTCTTTAGGAGATGCAACACCACGCCACAAAAACCGAACCAAAAGCTCCCATCTCCTTAGCCACGTTTCTGAAATATGGTATTGCTGCAATTCTTTCTGAGGGGAGGTGCAGGTATTTGTCAGCATAATCTGTAACTTAAGCTGCATCCTTTCATCTTCAGAACGTACTAAAATTTGTGAATAAAAGAGAAAACATCTGTAACAAGTTTCTGAATGCATAAATTCCTTTATTGAAAATATTGTGATAGCACTGCGTTACATATATTCAATATTGATAGTTTCAAGGGTCACAGAATTTTGATTGAACAACACTGTCTGAATATAGACCACAGCGTTTAGATATGCTCCGACAAGGATAATATAATGGAGTAAGTTGTAGGTAGCAGTAGTGAAATGTATGTAAAACGTTGAACTTGGTTGGTCTGGCTGTGTTGTGGGTTTTTTTAACTATTAAGTGGTCTGCCACCATTTAGAAGAGCAAACAGTATTAGATATTCCTGGCATCTTCAAAGCGTTACGCTGTTAGCAACTTCCAAAACATTTCACAGCGGTACCAGTAAGAACTTTAATTCTGGCTGCAGCAGACCACACAGAAGGGAAGCGTGAAAAGCTCACGTGCAGTGTGTTACAGGCTTACTGTATATAGCACTGGCTTTTAGACAGTGAAATTCCTGTGCAGGATTAAGATTCAGTAATGCTTTCAAAAGAAAACCACTTGGCTGCTTTTTCTTTTTTCCCTCCCTCAATCTATTCAAAAAGGGAGGAACAGGAACTAAATTGAGTTGTATTACTCTGTTAACAATATTCCAAAATTAGACTGTACTGTTTAACGCATGGAAGCACACTACTGTTTCTAAAACCTGCCTCTCTCAGCACCGTGACACAGTCGAGTCTAAGAGCAGGACAGCGTCCTTGGGTGGGTCTGGGTTGTGTAAACGAAACCACAGCTTAAAGCAGAATTCTTCAGCAAACAGTGGAGATTGCCAGTCCTCTCTGTCACACTCTGTTTACCAAAATTTTTATTTTTTAACATGCACTCTTTTCTTTTCAGCGTGGAGGGGGAAAAGTATCGGAATATTTCATGGGAAAAAAAAAAAAAAGGAGAATATTTAATTGCCAATCAAATCCTAAGCCAGCCTGTTGCTTCAAGTCTTTTTCAGGAAGGAATCATATATATAATTACTAAGAAAACAAGTATTACGCTAACATGACTTGGCCTGTTAGGGAAACAGCATTCTTCTCTAAATCTCAATTGTAGTTTCTCCTTAACAAAGCAGTTATTCTTCAATTTGTAGAGAAGTGCTCATAAAAGCACAGTGGGTGGCTTATTTTGAATCATTTGGTGGCAATACAGAAAAACAATCCTCTCTTAGAAATATCCTTCGTAAACAGTCAAATAATACTAGGGCAGATGCTTGGAGCACGGTGTCCCAATTCTGTTGACTGGAATAGAGCTGATATAGTCCACACGAGCTGGCAGTTTGCCCAATGTCTCCATACACTGCCAAAATAGTAATCTATTAACAGGAATGTGGCAGCAGAGTTAATAAGAAGCACTATCCACCTTCTCTCTCATCTCAGGAAAAAAAAAAAAACCACAACGAAACAGAATTATGCACTCAAGCGTTTCTGTCAGAAAACAAACCCTCTAATTAGGGTAAAACGAAAACCAAATCTAATTTACAAAATAAAAATATAAAAATGAACTTCAGAAATCAAATAAATTGATTCAGAATAAATGCCAATGCATAAGAAGAGTAATCATTTACCAAACTGAGATTTGAACTAAAAAAGAAAAAAACCTCATAGCTAATACATTTACAAAAAAATCTGCTATACAATAACAATAAATAAAAAGATTTTAAAAACATGTTCCCTTAAGTGCTGTGTACACCTATTTGTGATTCTTTTCCATGGCAAACAGTATGCTGTATATTTTGGTAAAGTAACCTTTTATTTTTGGTTAGCATTTGTACATTGAATATAAATACACGTGGAATGTGCTAGACAGTTATAGTTTTCCCACAGGATCTTTTTCACAGTTACAGAAAAAGTTTTCGACTTATACACCATGAATGTTTTCATAAGCATCATATCTTCAATGGAAGAGCACTGGAGGAGGAAGTAAAAACCACTTCAGACTGATCTCTTACTGTTTTGTCTCTTACTGCCTCTCAAAACCAGCTCTGTTTCTTCTTGGGTTGGTTGGTTGGGTTTTTTTGCGTAGTCATGCTCTGGTACAAACTTGAGGAAAAAGCATGTAACATTGTGAGGCAGCCTGCACCTTCTGGTTAGCTTTTAAGTGCCTAATGGATCCAGTCCTTAAGGCAGTCAGTATTTCATTCAAATGTCCATACTTCTACATCTTGTATTATGAAATCTTCTTTCTTAGATAAGATGTCATTATTGAAGGTGCTGCAGGAGTTGCTTCGCCCGTGATACAAGTCTGCATCTAACCATAAGCCAAACCGGCCACTAAAAAGGAAATGCATGATCCATTTCAGGTTATATGTAATAGTGAAAATACTGGAAGCTGTAGGAACAACCAGAGGAGTGACACAAAGGAATCTAGTTAATTTCAAGGACCTCTTAGACCAAACGTGAAGAGCTCAACCTGGCAAAGCATCTGTGAAGAAGCTCATGGAGCAGTCCAGTCCCCTTGCTTTTGTTTGCACTAGCAAGCGGGGCAGAGCGCAGGACCAAGCGTGCACCCATGGCCCCCCGTGCCATTCGGCTGGTTCACACCGCCAGCTGTGGCTGTGGCTGACACCAGGGCGTGGGTGTCAAGGTATCTCCCCTGGCTGTTTGGATGTGGACACGGCCCCTTCTGGTTCAGGAGGAGGAGGAGGGGGGGTGTTTACACACTCCCGATGCAAGCCATGCCCAGATGTCCCCATGGTGCAGCCTGCAGTCAGGTTTAGTTAGTCGTACAGACTCAGTCCTTGATTTCACACCCACTGACCTTTGAAATTCAGAACCTGACTAAGCCCTGTCTGTATCCTTGATTTGTGTAGCCACGGAATAATGACAACTTAAAAAAGACCACGTGAGAAACCTTAGAAACCGATGGCAAAACTCCCACTGGACATTATCTTCCAGTGGCAAACCTGTTCAGCAATGGGACGTGTATCTATCCAAAACATCTGGGTTTTTTGTCCTTAAAAAAAAATTACTTGCCCAACATCACTCACTCTCTCTAAGCAATAGAAATTGCTCTGGGTCAGTAACAGAAATCAGATTGCTGAAGTATCGGCCCTAAACAGTTTGATAAAAATAAGTTCAGCCATTTTTCCAAGTAGTTTTTCCTGCAAGTACCATTGTTCCTATTCTCATTAAAAAAAAAAAAAAAAATTAGCTACCTGATTTGAAAACCAAACATTCACTCACCCTCCACCTCCAAGCTCCAGAGAGCTGGTGTCTCCGTTGATGAAGTAGGTGTTCTCTCCACTCCATTTGAATACCTGAGAAGGGGGAAAAAAACCCAAATATATTTGGAGCGTGGGGATTCTTGTACTCTAAAACTACTGGAGACCAACTCTGAGCAGGCATTTTCTGGTGTGGTCACATTTTATTTTTTTTCTTGAAGGGCGAGGAGGAAGAGGCAATAGGTAGAAAGTAAAGGAACGGTACATATTTAAAACTATGAACAAGGCACCCTAATCCTTTTTAAAATTTTGCTTGCATCTCTAAATGAACAAGCATTCTGTTAAAAAGGAACAATGTGTTCAATACTGAAGGTCGCATAAGCCACGAACATGAAGGGGTACTGCAGTACCACTCTCATCTCTGGTTGGCTGACACTCTGATCCTAAGCACGCGTGAAATCATAGGTTATTCTTGGTATCACTGCCTTCCACGATGAGTCTTTGACAGTCCACTCCTTACTCCTCCCTGCTTTCCCCTTCAATCTGCTTAAAACCCTCTCCCCACCCTTACGGACCATCCTCTTGGCACTTCACATAATTACAGCCACTTTTGCTTAACATGCTGCATTGAAGCAATGAGTGATTAACTGCACTCATCAACCATCAATACATCTTCTAAACTCAAATATGCTGTCTTCAGAAAAGTCTCACAAACCTATCAGAAGTGGAACCCAAAAATCTTCCTTGTGTGGCATCCAATTATTATTACCCAGCTGGCTTGAACTGAAACCGAATGTAATTGTAATTAACTAATTAACTAAGGTTGAGACCCTGCCTACAAAAGGTGGGCCATTTCCTCCTGGCTGTGGAAGATGCAACAGCATCCTTGGAGCCGCGGCCCAGGCTGGTGAGCAACATACTTGGGAAAGTGAACACCCACTTACCTTGAAATTTGGACTGAATGTGTAGAGGAATGTTTCACCGGTGCCGTAGTAATGGTCACTAAACCTGAAGGGATGTGTAGCATACGCGCCGAATATCTGTCAGAATAAAATGGTAAAACTACTTTCGAAGACAGTGCAAAATTCAAGAGAAAAAAACCCAAACGTTTCAAAATACCAGAACAACTGAGCTGGTGTTTCATGTTAGAAGAATCAACTAGTGAAGTACATCAGATAAGCAAGTACTCCTGCAAATCTTTTGTATCCTGCAACTTAAAAGCCAGATGACAACAATGGCAACAGGAAGGCCGACTCTAGGAGCTACTGAAGTATTAGACCTCTACAGAAGTATTATTTGTGACGGCTTTTTAACTGAGGTACCAGAGGAAGATTGTTCCATAGGCACTATTAAAAGGACCACTCATTGCAATTATGAAGCTGGAGGGGGTTATTTCTATTACTGCCAATGTACTTTCCTGCCTGTAAGTTCAGTTTAAGTAGCACAAAATACAAAAGAAAACACCGAAGTATTGGTTTGGTATGATGTCACCTCACAGTATGACTAGCACTTCACAATGATCATTTTTTATAACACTGCCCTTTCAGTCCAACCCCCGCAGAACAAACACTCCTTACCTGGTTGTCCATATCCTTGATGACAAGGAGAACCGGACTGTCGAGAGATGCCGATTTACGGTACAGAGTCTTCAGGCTAGTCCCGTGCTCCAGTGTACTGTACGCAAGCCGCCACGGATATCCCTGCACTCGTGCGGGCAAGCACCGGGCAAGCTGGGCAATGAACAAGGGGAAATGGTTACATATTCAACAGGTTCACAGGTGGTGACCCAGACTATTCCCTTTCTGCAGGGGCTTCTGAGCCAAAAAATGGCTGTCAAGGGAGCAGCTGATGCCAGAAGCTTAACATTGCCACATGTGTGTGGCCTTGTACTTGGAGCCCAACTGTCTGCACTCACATCACCTGTGAAAGAGATTTCAAAACTGGCACCCCCTCTCCAAGGGCTGAAAGAGTTGCCAGTCCTCAATATCACAGCTCAAACTCCAGAGTTGCGAAACATAAAAATAAGCTTTCCAGGTGAGCCAGTGCTGCAGCAAACAGGGCCTTACACAAGGACACTCCAATATGCTAAGTGCTTTTCAAACTCTTAAAAAGCATTGGCATTGATTGCCTCCAGAGGCAGAACGTCCCACGCTTGACAGAGAGAGCACCACAGCTAACAAGGGCACTTGAACTTTTTTAGCCTCACCTGCTCTATGTGCATATTCTCCAGGAGGGCACTGTGATGCTTTAAGACAGGCAAAGTATCATCGTCGTCTTCCTCATAGTAACTGCAAATGCTCTTTCGTCGTTTTGCTTCTTCTACAGTAATGATCTGAGGCAAGAGAACAGGTGTCCAACTAAAGCAGAGCTCTTATGATGTGAATTCTCTGTTTAAGTAAGTTCATTTAAAAAACCATGCTCTGCAGCTGTTACACTGTGTGGAGCAAAGCCACTGTATGGGATGGTTCTATCAAGCACAGGCAGCCTTAACCAAATGGGGAAATTCTCAACTGGCATAGCATCTTTGAAACAGCACAGCCTGAATTTCTTTATCATGCCATGGTGACCTCCCACAGCTGTAGATGTACTAATCACTGGGGTAACCAGGTGACATCATGTTGTCAGTCTCAGACATACTTGGTTCCAAGTTAGAAGGCTAAAATACACCTGCTTCTTTTGAGGCACACTACCTGCGTCTGAACTAGATGTCTCGTAAGAGTCTAAATGAGGACACAGAAGCTTGTTTTCTCTCATGCAGCTAGTTGAATACATTATTTTCTCAGGTGCTAACGCATGAGAATATGGAAAAAGTTTAAAATTTCACTTCTCCTTTTTATTAAAACAGCAGCTTCTTCCTAGTTTTCTTTAATGACTCAGACATGGTTTTGTTTATACAAAATAAAACAGAATCAATACAGCAAAGAAGTAAAAACACAACTCAACTTGAACAGACGTTTCGAAGTTCTGTCTTGTAGGAAATGTACCATGTAAGATTGAGCATCCAGTTTATGCAAGTTCTTGAAAACACTCATTCTAAGAGTCAAGATCTTCACAAAACACATTCTTAGTTGAAAATGATCAAACAGCTCTTTAGAAACTTCTATCTATTCCTTCGCTTAAGACTTTACAGAGTACATTGTAATATTTCAGAAGGTGAGACCATATAAATATTTCTAATGTCAGATTTTAATTTAAATACTTATACAACGAAGCACAGACTTCTCTCCAGCAACTACAGGTAAGTCACACTACCTTTCCCCATAAAGCTGGAAACAAAATGAGAAGGCAAGTCCATATGCTTAACGCTTGTCCAAGATGACTCAGAAGCCTACAAAGTGTTGAGAGAGACAGAGGACAAACTCTGAATCCCATGTGGCATGGGCAAACAAAAGCCCAAACGTGGTATGGGCAAACAAGAGCCCAAACGTGGCATGGGACAGGAGCTCCCAGGCTGGCAGCACAGTGCCCAATGCTCACCGCAGAGGGGAAGACGCTGCCTCACCCCTTGGCAACAGCGGTCCAGTGTCCTGACTTCTGACGAGTTGCTGCTGGGGTGCTCAGCCTCCCAGCTGGCAGAGAGCATCATCTGGCACAGCTGGAAAGCTGCTAACCATCTGGGTACAGCTCAGGGCACTTAGCAAGCAACAGAAGCCTTGGCTCCGCACAGCAGTGGGAGGTGAGGTAAGGCTCACTGTGTCCGGCAGCGGGGCTTTAGCTGTGGCTTGGTGCCACCATGGCAAACAGGAAGCAACGGTGAGAGCTCAGAGGTGGGGCTGATGAGAAAGAAAAGGGGAAGCCAGGAGGCCTAGCTACAAAACAACCAGGAAATCTTAAACCGCCTTCCTTCCACAAGCATATCACCACAGAGGTCTCGTCTTGGAGCAGAAACCTCAAGAAGTGGCTGCAGAGCACGCTGTGCCACCACCACATGCCTTCCTGCAAATACGGGTTCCAAACGACTTTCACATTACACATGGATGAAGTTTTGCGTAACTCCTCCGTGCCTTCACGATCACTGTTCGAACTTGCAGAAGCTGTCAACAGTTGAGACAATTGCCAAGAAGTGCCTGGAGGTCCTACACACACCTGCCCACAGGTAAGAAAGCAAATCCACTGGACTGACTCCAGGTGCAGATTTAACCACGCCACAAAGCACAGAAGCAGTTTTTCATGAAGACCAGGACCGGTGAGGAGCTCACCGTGGGTAAGACAAAACCCTAATACCGTAAGTCGCACCTACCATCTCCAGCGGGACGTGAGCAACGCCTCTGCTGCACACACTCACGTGTCCAGCATGCGTTCACCTGCAGATGCCTGGAGCAGAGTCCAGGGCAGCCACCCCAAGCAGGGCACCTGGGCACCAGCACTCCTACGCACACAGTGGCGTTAGGAAAAGAGGGCAGGACCACCAAAAGGCAAAATCCAGCCTGCAGAATTAATGTTGTTACGTGTCCCTGCACACCCAGGCAGTAGAGGTGTTCCTGCCGGTGATACTGGAAGAACTGTACAACTGCATCGTGCCCCTCCAGCCCAGGCTCAGTGGGATCTACTCCTGGGTTTTCCAGACTGGAGGGAATCCAGTGCCGGAAAGTTTTTTGTATGGTCAATTTCAGGGAAGGTTAGCATTGCAAAATCAAGATCAATTTAAAAAAAACGTTAAAGGAAAACAGACTTCCTGCTCTTTTCTTTGTTCTTTCTTCACCTCCTGAACAGTTTTCCTTCCCTCCTCATCTCCCAGGCCATTATTTTATTTTACTTTATTTTTTTTTAAATGAACACCTTTTTCATCTTATGTCAAAAGTAATCAACATCTCTCTTTCGAAGACTATTTTCTAGGAATAGTCTCCTTCCAGGAGGAGGAGGGGGAAGTATCACAGTAGATCAACCAGCAACAGGTATCCACAGCAAAATACAACCAAACTCACAGCCACAGGCAACCACAGAAAATCTATTAACTCAGCTGTAAATTGTCACTCAACTCCACAGATGGACAAGCCCCCCTCTTCACTGCACAGACACCGATTCAGTCTATAACTGAAGCGCACATTTGAATTAAGTTCAGAGTCAACAACTGCAAAAAAAAAAAAACAACCTGCAAGATCAGATATTTACAGACCACACAAAAGCAGAAACAGACGAAAAGAATCAACTGCTACAGAAACTGGATCTGCAAAGTCTTTTAAAGATTTTAGGGGACTGAGATGGCAAGCTACCTGGGGTGGAACTACCCTGTTAAAATTTTCACCTGAGTACAGAGCACGTTTTTCACTTGCACAGAAGTGCTGCATCAGATCCACGCTGTTCAAACAGGGACACAGTTCAACATACCTCCACAAAAGGTTCCTCCTGGTCAGGTCCGGCATAGTAAAGAATTCGAATGTTCAAAGGCGTTTGTTTCCCTTTCATCATCTACCAGTTTATTCTGCAGTATCCACTGCACTTCCCTGCTCTACCGGCAAGAGCTCTTGCCCACAAGTATGACAGACAGCTACTGCCCGTGGCACGCTGTGATAAAATTGCTTATATGCTTCTCTACAATTACACTTTCTATTTCCCCGCAAGGGAGAGTGAAACTTTCGCAGTAATCATGCCCAAATTTGGACTTTCCACAGAGATTTCCTGGCAGGCCTACTTTAAATTTGTAAAGTCTGAATTATTACAACTAAACGAGTCACACCTTTATGAAGCTGTTTCCAGCTAACCCTTCTCCTGATACATACTCAAAAAAAACAATGAGAGAAAAGCTCCCAGTGTGGCCAGATCTCTCCCACCTCTGTTCTTTGCGTAACGGCTTTCTCCTTCATTTCGGTTTTACCAAAATGGCATGCAAATAACAACTGAAAAGTGAAATCTAGTGGAATACATGACTGCACTCAGCTCTGAGCAAAACAAGGAATGAAGACTTTTTTTTTCCCTTCCATCTTGCAGTTCACAAAGCACCAACGTTAAGAAACTACGAAACTGTAAAAGTAAAAGCTATCTGGGGTTAGAGGTGATGCTGCTACATTTCATATGACAAACCCCACTCCAAAGCTCTGTTTTTGAACAGGACAAAATACTTTGAAGATAGAAATGCTTAAAAAGAGAAAAGAAAAAAGAAGAGTAGATTTTTTTTTTTAAGTTCATGTTTAAGACAAATAATCAGATCACTTCAAATCACCATAAAGATACTTCCTACTTAGGGATTTATCTGGTTTTTAACTTAACCTATATCCTTAGCACAGCAAGTGCTTCAGCGTTCAGGAATATAATTAAAAAACGTGTGTGAACTTATGTCCCTTAGAAACTAGGCTTTGTATGCACAGGAGACAGACAGATAACAAACACAGGCATGTCAAGTAGTTTAAACAGATTCCAAACGCCCCCATATGAAAAAGCCGAAGTCCCAGACTAAAACCTATCTGTCCTACAACCAACATTCAAGCAGTATTGCTGTGCACCTGAGAAGCCAGGGTATGCCACACCACCACACACCAATCCCTTTCAACCAGCATGCAAGAGGCTCTGTTGGCGTTTATGTGTACATATACATTTTCATAGAATCACAGAATGGTTTGGGTTGGAAGGGACCTCAAGGATCATCTAGTTCCAACCCCCCCACCATGGGCAGGGAAACCCTCCACTACACCAAGTTTTTTGGAGGTTTTATTTGTAGCATATAAATACAGTATCAGTTTAGCAAAGCTGACAACATACACCTGTACAGTTTTGCGGAAGGCTAACATAACATAACCAAAACATTTACACAATTTCTGCTGGTTGCACACCACAGAGCTCCCAGTTGTTTGCCTGCTCTTTCTATGGAGAGAAGGAAGGAGGACTGAAGAAAAATTAGTATATTTGTGAGACAGACACAAGCCTTAAGAAGACGGCCATATGAAGCAGCAAATGTTATAAAGAAACACAATAAAACATCAAAAGAGCAAGTGCTGAGATTCTCAACAGGGATGCACACTTGAAATGCACATGCTTCATACCACGGCAGCAAGCACTCACCTCCCAGCTTTTAGTAGTGGGCTCACTGAAGAAGTTGTCTATCATGTCAAGCTCCTCCTTTTCTACCACAACAAAACCTTGCTCTTTGGCATCTTTCCCATATATTTCTGGTGACCACTGGACAAAAAATGTGTACAAGTGATCCACCCTGTAAACAGAAGAGGAGGAGACAACGGTTGTGCAGTGGTCCATGAACACAGCTCTGTCACGTAGTACAGAGGTTTTGCCTGAAGACAAAGAAGGGACGACCACCCTCACATACCACACACAAGGCAATAGCTTCTTCCACCTGGCAGCCTGAAGAATTTCAAGGTTTCTCTGCTTTCTGTCTCCACAACATTTTTTTTCCTCCCTTTGCCATACACACAGCCAAAGTTTCATGGAAAAACTAAGTAGCTTGTCCAGTTCCACACAATTCATATTGAGATGACAAACTGTTTAGTATTAGATCATGCTTACAAAAGTTAAGTCCATAAAAACCTCACTTTAAATATTTAGTTTGACCTCCTGCATAAACTGAGCCATAAGATATCACCAGTAAAGTCCACACATTCCTAGCTGCCCTCCAAAAGTTATAGACTAACCACAAAACAATTCTACATTCCGTTGGCATAATGAAAATCAGCAGTTACTGACATTGCTCTTTGACAACATTCGTAACAAACAGTGAAACAATTTCTGAAGAAGGAATTTATGTAGTCCATTCCTTCAACTCAGATAGTACTAAAGATTAAAATTAACAGATGCAATTTGAAACAGGAGTATGACAGTAGATGCACTGTACAAGAAGCTGAATTGCTGGAGAAAAAAAAAAGTAATTAAAGAGGACAGATAGAAAGATGGTAAATACTTATGACATGGAATCTTTCTCCAGTTATTCACCAGAAAAGTTTTGTCTGGCAGTTCCTTGATGAACACAGAACAATTAAAATCTTAGAGAAACCTAGACATTTCCCCTCCCGTATTTCAAGTTACTTGGATTTCTAGTATACGCACAAGTAGTATTAAAATCATGTCAGCACTGATGGGATTCTGTTCAAGGTCACTCACTTAGTTCCACAGATTTTTCCAGTCAGGTCTACATTTTTTGTTCTATGCTCCTACCAATAAGGGCCAGAGTCTGATGTCAGTTCTAACTGCATAAACTGACACCCCTGAAATTGTTGCCTGCTCATGATACATACACTAATTCATAGTCAAAAGTGAGACATTGGGTGGGGGGAAGAGGGCTTGACTCACTTTGGTTCCAAGAAATTTGGCTGCAATTTTCACTACTCTCAGAAGAAAAAAGGATTGACTTTGCCGCATCATTGAAATGTCCTTCTGACCATGAAAACAGAACAAATTACCATTGCCATCGTTTTTTTCTCTTTTCCTTTGCACATTCACAATGCTTCTGTGGTGCATGGCTAATGCATGAACTAGCTGATTTTAATTTTTTTTACTAAACAAGAACTGTATCTGTGAAACATTTTTACGATACAAGCAAATACAGCTCTAGCATAATTGCCCTAAATTTGTGAACAACATGCAACACTAGTTCCTGCGGCATCAGCAGCCTCCCTTCATCAAGAACAAGTAAGGCAGCTACTGTTGATATCAAAATAAAAATTTTAGCTGCTGTTGGTTCCTCTGCAGCCACAAACACAAAAGACATCAAAGGCAGTACTGTGCAAACAATCAGTTCTCAGGAGAGTCCTCTCCCGTAACTGCCTGCAGAAGGCTAAAAGAGGGTCACGCTCCCACTGCCAAGGGTCCCCTCCTTCTTTGTGAGAAGCCACGTGATTGCTTACAAGTTTGCATAGGTCTAAAAACAGCAAACTATGGAAGACGCTTCTAAAAGACATATCACCTCATTTTAGCCAAGGTCTTTTCTTCTAACTGTAAAAGTTTCCCCACATCAATAGGTGCCACTCAGCATGCCCTGTTCCTCTTCACTTGCTCACAGAGGCTTCAGAAAAAGCAGTATGATCACCTCTCTACTAACTAATGTGAGTTTTATCTGAAAGAGACAATTAACTTCATCATTGTGTATTTCATGTGCAGTAGTCCTAGTCTGGAAAGCTAACTACTTCATCCCTACAAATCCTCGTGAAAGAACAACAAAACTAGTGGTTGCTGCTGTCTGGCTAAGATCAGTGTGAAAGCACAGTTATGCAGGTAGGTGGAGGAGAGCAGCACACTCCCATCTCAGAATTGCAGAACAAATTTAGGTCATAGAGCACCTCTGGAGATCATCTAGTCCAACTTCTGTTCATAGTAGAGCTAACCTTCAAGTTCATAGAATCATACAGAATCACAGAATGGTTTGGGTTGGAACAGACCTTAAAGATCATCCAGTTCCAACCCCCCCACCATGGGCAGGGACACCCTCCACTACACCAGGTTGTCCAAAGCCTCATCCAACCTGGCCCTGAACACTTCCAGGGATGGGGCATCCACAACTTCTCTGGGCAACCTGTTCCACTGCCTCACCACCCTCAGAGTGAAAAATTTCTTCCTTATATCTAACCAAAATCTCCCCTCTTTCAGTTTAAAACCATTGCCCCTTGTCCTATCACTACACGCCCTTGTGAAAAGTCCCTCTCCAGCTTTCTTGTAGGCCCCCTTTAGGTACTGGAAAGCTGCTATAAGATCACCCTGGAGCCTTCTCTTCTCCAGGCTGAACAGCCCCAATTCTCTCAGCCTGTCTTCATAGCAGAGGTGCTCCAGCCCTCGGATCATCTTCGTGGCCCTCCTCTGGACTCATTCCAGTAGCTCCATGTCCTTCTTGTGTTGGGGACTCCAGAGCTGAACGCAGTATTCCAGGTGGGGCCTCACGAGAGCTGAGTAGAGGGGCAGAATCACTTCCCTCGACCTGCTGGCCACACTTCTTTTGATACAGCCCAAGATACGATTTGCTTTCTGGTCTGCCAGTGCACATTGCCGGCTCATGTTGAGCTTCTCATCCACCAGCACTCCAAAGTCCTTTTCCTCAGGGCTGCTCTCAATCCGTTCTCCGCCCAGCCTGTACTTGTGCTTGAGATTGCCCCGACCCACGTGCAGGACCTTGCACTTGGCGTTTTTGAACTTCATGAGGTTCTCACAGGCCCATCTCTCCAGTCTTTGAAGGTCCCTCTGGATGGCATCTCTTCCCTCCAGCGTGTCCACAGCACCACACAGCTAAGTTACAGCAGGTTGCTCAGTCTTGTCCATTCGCAGTTTGGAAAATCTCCAAGAGATTCCACCACCTCTCCATGCATTCTTTTCCATGCATAACCAGTCTCTCATTGTTTTTTTTTCCTTCTATCTAACCACAATTTCCTCCAGTGCATGCAGCATGTCATCTGAGAAGAGTCTGGCACCATCCTACTTCCCCTCACTCCCTTTTTTTTTTAATCACATGTCCAAAAGGAAGAGAAGAATAATCACTTCCCCCAAGCTGTTGGCTATGCTCTTCCTTATGCAGGCCAGCCAGCAGTGAAGGCTTCATTGCACTGCTGACTTAACACTGAGTTTTCTCTCAACTTCCCCAGCTCCCTTTCTGCAGAGCCGCTCCCCAGGCTACTTGTCCCCAGGCTGTACACCACCATTGGGGTGCAGGACCACAATTCTGTATTTGCCTTTTCTGAACTTCCTGACATTTCTGTCAGCCCATTGCTCTGTGTTGAGGCCCCTCTGAACAGAGGTCCTGCCCTCCTGTGTATGAACACTCCCCAACTTTGGTGTTATCCCACAAGATGGCAAAGGTGCGTTCTGTCCCATTGTCCACGTCCTCGATAAAGACATTAAACAGCATCAGTCCTCAAGATATACCACTTGCACCTGGCTGCCACTCAGACTAGCTATCAACCCTTTGAGTCCAACAGTCCTGTCATTTTTTTTTTGCCCACCTGGTAATCTACTTGTCCAGATCACATCCTTCCAATTTGGCTACAAGGATACTACAGGAGATTGTGCTGAAAGCCTTACTACAGTCATGGTAAATGAACCTTCCTTACTCTCTCCTTGTTCACAGAGCTAGCCATCTTAGACAGAAAAGTCATCTAGTTGGTAGAAAAAAAATACGCCCTTGGTAAATCTACGATAGCTGTTTGTGATGACTTCTTGTCCCACACATGTGCCTGGAAACGGCATCCCCAAGGATGTGCTTCATAGTCTTCCCAGGGACTGAGGTGAAGCTGACTGCCCTGCACTCCCACAGATCCTCCTCGATTTTTCTGAAGATGGTTGCAGCATTTGTCTTTCCAATTATTAAGGACCTCTCCCAGTCATAATAACATTTCAAAAGATGATAGAAAGCAGCCTTGTAATAACACCAACTTCCTCAGTACACTCAGAACATTTCCTGTCAAGCCCCATGGACTTGCATATGCTCAGTTTATCTAAGCAGTCCATAACTAAGTTTTCCTCTACTGTGGACAGATGCTAAATAAATCCAGATGTCCAATTTTAAGAAGCAGCAGCACAAAGTGAGAAATAGGTGATTACAGAAGTGAGATCATTCTGAAAGGGGATGCAGAGCATCCCTTCTCTGTTAATAAAATTATAACATTATACTATGGTGGTATTTCCAAGATACCAAATTGAAAAAAATGGAGATAATTTTTAAATTGAAAAACCACTGCTTGAGAAACTCTCTTACAGTCAACTTGATAGCTATGAGGAAATTTATCCTAGAACTAAATATTTTTTTTTGGTGATGACATGCTTATGAGCGTGTCATGCACTAACAGAGAAACATCAATAAAACAAAGTACTTAGAAATTAATAACTTCAGAAACCTGAAGTTAATCACTCCACAAAGAAATTATTCAAAAGGAAAAGATGATAACAGGGAACTTTTTTTTTTTAAACACACAACCTAGGAGACGTGAATCAACAAGGAAAGATGGAACACTGACTAAAGAGGGAACCTCCCCCAGCTGTAGGCAGTTTAAAAGTAAAATTCACAGTAACACACACACAGAGGGCACAAAACAAACGTAAAAAGAAAAGTTTATAGTGAACAATATAAATTCAGCAGAAAACTGATTTTGGACAGTACAAAACACGACTTAAAGATCATGACAGAAAAGTGGTAAAATTTGTGTAAGATAAAAGCTTGGTGGAATATTATGCCACTGCATTGCTTAGTAAACTGGGCACAATCAGCTCCATGTAGGAATGCATTCGAACAGAGGAACATGCACTGAAGAACAGCAAGCAGAGGCTGTGCTTGCAGGATGGTACTGCACCCTTGGCAGAAGGACCCTAGAGACTTCAGATAGCGGCTCTGAATTTTAGAGCAAGAGCTCCACACCAGCACCTTAATGACAACACTTAGTGTGATCCATGAACGTACCAAGAACGTAACATTCAGCAGAAGGAATGAGATTGTGTTTAGTTTGGTCTTAGACACTTTGATGACCACTGCTGAAATACTCTGCTCATCTCTGGTGCACCATTCCAAGTCATGCTCAAGTGTTGTAGCTTACAGAGACGCAAAACCAGCTGCCGTACAGTAAGAGGCAAAAGTCATTTAGCTTCCGGGAGTGACACTCCGTAATAGCTGACATTAAGAAGAACTGAATCCTGGTAATACAGATACAACCACAACCAGGGACCGGAAGCCGGAAAAATTAAAGTATATAGTGCACTGAAAAAGAGCAAAGGCAATCAATAAAACACAGCAGACAACTTGTCAAGTTACAGTTGATTCCTGAGGGGCAACTGTGAATGATTTTTCATCTAAAAGATGTACTTTAATTTAGGAGGTCCCAAATTGACATCATCACCACCACCTTTTCTGTTGATATGGCAACAACATCTGATTTCTTTGAGGGCAGAGGCAAATCAATTTTCCATAAATTAATGTATTCGGGTCAGTCACATGTGAGAGGGGGGCTACTTCCAAATTTGTGTGTTTGGGTAGTGGAGGAGGGTTTGTGCATCCTGTGATACACGTCTAAAGGCTCTAAGTCCAACCACAGCTACTGGTCTACAAACAGGAATTAATTCAGAGGAGTCCTACTTATTAACAGCCATCATAAAGAGTATCGGTCTAACAGTCTTCTCTCTGTATTAATGTTTCTGGAGGCTTCCATTCAGGGGAAAATACATTAAAAAAAAAAGAAAAAGTTTTAAAAGGCGAGTGTCCTCACTCCATGCAGCTGCCCCACAGCCTGCCAAAGCCAGGAACGCAGCAGCAGCCTGCAGACAGCACAGCAGTGAGTTATGGGGCCAAGAGTGAAAATGGAGCCATTTTCGCAACTGATGACACAAGCTGTTTTAACAGCAAACACTAAGAGATAATGAAAAATGTAATTAAATGCAAACCAGAGGAAGATTTAATTTACACAGGGATTAAAGACATGCACACCAATTTCTTCAAAATCTCAATCCAATTTGGCTTTTTTGTTTTTAACTACTATGAAACATTAAGATGCTGCACAAGCTATTGCGACTGCGCTGGACATAAAGCGTTTTATTTGTGCTGCTTTATGGCTGAAGAGATGAGAGTGATATTCTTGATATTTTCATATATGAACATACATTGCAGTTTGAATGTTTTTAAACTTGGTAAATTATTTTGATACATGGCATCAAAAATACATTGCAAAGCTATCCCAAATGACCTACTGTCTACGGCACTCTCAAGATGCAACCTTGATAATTCTACACTATGCAATACTGGAGCAATAGTACCACCAGCGGGTAGGAAACGATGCATTTTGCTTTGGAGAGGCATCCACGAGTTTCGAGAAAACACTTGACTTGTCAGGCAAAGACATGCCTTGCATTAATACGAAGCAGTGGGTCTTGTTTAATTTTTGCCCCAAGTTCTACACGATCTTTTACGTGCCTCTGTGGTGTTAAAACAGGCATGTACGAATAGCACCAAAATGATCCAATCTTATACTAAATTCACCCCCAATTTTGCTCAAGAGCTGAACAGCAGCTCTGACAGCAAAGACCTGGCCTGTCAGCCAGCACAGCCAAGTGCTGCTGCAACAGCTCACTTCAGAAATTACTTTTTCCTCAGTCTAAAAACTTAAGTATAAAGCAATAAGTTGTCAACGCTTCAGTTTACATACGGATTAGGTCCCCTCACTAATCAGAAAGTTTCTTCTCATAAAGTCACAAGTAACGAAGCTGTTTTCCAAATTTGCCATAATAAGATCAACAGATTTACCTGTTGCACAGAGCGACAATTAGAGACGACCTCTGTTCAGCTCAGCGGCCCTATTCAACATTACATACACTATCCCCAAAGCAGTAACTGACCCTGCGTATCCTACAGCATCACTCCAACTCCTTAAAGTGTTTACTCACACTTCAACCTATAATTTTCTGAACTCGCCCTTTTGCAATCCCTGAGGAGCCAAGGACTGGGTCCAGCAGACAGCAAGCAAACCAAAAGCAAACCAAAGCGGATACACTCCCGATGGTCATATTCCAACTGGGTTAAACCTCTCCCCCTCCTCTCCTGTGTCAGCAACTTCCATATTACCGGTCTGCTCAAAACACTCATTTCTAAAATACAAGAAACAAACACTTAAACCAACACACATGCTACAAATTAGAAAATAAAATTAAATATTCTGAAAACTTATTAAAAAAGAAAAAAATTGACTGCATCTTAGAAACACCTCTGAGACTGATCACCAGGTCAGATTCTTCCTTCCTCGTACCTCATTCACCAGAATTGTGATCACTGGTTTCCCTATTTTGGTTCATCAACAGACTGCTCTAGCCTCTATCTGCCTTCTAGCACAAGACAGACCAGGGATTTGATTCCTCACCATCAGTGAAAATTCTTGGGTGATTTATGTGGAAAATCGCAGGCCTCCACTTTTCTTTTTTTTTTTCTTTTTTCTTTTTTTCCCCTCCCATAGCACAATTTATGCATACATACACACCTACAGGCACATAAAACATTTAAACAGATTTCATCATGAAGAAAGGGTTGTTTTTTATGGGCCTGAAGGTTGAAACAGCCATACCCATTCAGTTAGGAGTGTCTGCCTTTGTCACATCATGCCCTTTGCTCATGTGAAATATCTATTTTTTAGCACTGGCACCTTAGTGGACTCCTTGCCTCTCTTGCCACTGCTCCCCTTTTCCCCTTTCCTTCACTTCCTAGACTACGGCCGAAACCCAGATCATCCCCCCGTGCTTTTATCATATGTTAGCTGCACCCACATCCCTCTTTTCACCTTCCAAGTGGCACCTGATCCCTTCTTCCTTCCCACTGGGAGCCATACCAGACCAGCAACAAACACTGTTTTACATCTCTGGCATGCAATGAGACGAGGGCACCCCTCTCCTCATCTAAGCATCCTTGCTGCATTTCACATCTTGGACCACAGAGGGAAAGTCAGATTCAACTCTAGAAAGCACTACACATTGGGGGTGAAAAAAAAAGGGACAAACGTTTTTGTGCTATGCACTGCAGCTTACCTTTCTCGAGGAACAGCAAACCAGTACTCTGGTTGCTTTATCTTTTTACTGTACTGTTGAGACATGGTGGTGCTCTGAGAAGCAAAGGACTTTCTCATGGGCTTGCCTACTTTAATGCACAGAAACATTGGAGGAGTCTTGCTCTTCTCCTCTCTCGAAGGAAGCATATCTGAATGAGACAAAAGAAATGGGCTGCTTACAGGATAGTACAAATACTGCAGCTGATAAAACAGTCAAAAAGACTAATAATCTTGTGCAAAGGAATACTCCGAGGCACCATCCACAGAATTACACCTGACATGGAATTCAATAGCAAATCCTTGTTCATCCTAAACTGTGGCCGTTTATTCCCATTTTGTCACAGCCTGTATCCCCCTCAGCTGTACAGCTACGTACAGAACAGCCCTGTAAAGCAAACCAGAAAGACGACCAGGCTGGGTGCAAACTGCAACATGAAGCAGGCAAGTAAAGGGGACAGTGTTTGACTGGGTCCAGGAAAGCCACCCAGTCGAAGGGTAACCCTGCACACACATGCACGCCCACACAAAACCCCATCAGTTCCTCAGCTCTGATGGTCAGGCAGCCACACAACCACCTTTTGTCTGCACAAGACAGGGTCAAGCATAAGAGCAGTTTAAGCTCCTTAAACCTCTAGTTCGACAAAAAAAATGCTTATTAAGCTCTAGCCTCAATCACACTGAGGTTGCCTCATTCATTTCAGGGGTACACATACAGGCATGGGGTTTTTTCCTCTCTCTCCCAATAACAACGATTATCGAATACAACTAGTGAGATATTAACCTTTCCAAAAGAAAGGAAAAATCATTTTAAGCACAATTGGGTTTTAAATAAAAACTTCTACTCTAATCATCCCCCACCACCTGAATCAAGGGTGTGTCTGCCAGTTCATACAACTACTACCATCAGCACTCCATGATGGACTAGCGCTTAGAGGCACTGGGCTGTAGCAGAAATAGTAACATGGGTACAAACTATCTAAACTGAGATTTCATTTAGTTATATGCTTTCCAGTAACAGCCTGAATTTTATTTATGATAAGCCAATGACCAATCAGGACAAAACGATCAGTCAGTAAGACTCTACATCTATTCCTATTTATCACTTCTTTAAGGGTTTCCATAGCATGAAAGATGCTCGACATGCAAATAGTGTCAAGAATACCCTGGTACCCCCCTTTACAGCAATGCTCTACTTTGGATACTGTCAGAAATACATTGACAGACTTCACTGAAGCAACAGGAGTCACCAATACGGAGTGACAATTCCTAGGCCATGAAGTGTCCCTGTCAAAACCACAACTGGATAACATTTCACTGCCCTTCTTAAAGCCAGTAAACAGAGGTGAAGATTATATACACAGTGATCACTGAATATGGAAAGAGCACACAAGCTACTTATAGACTAGAAACTTAGGGGATTTGAAGGTATTTTTTTTCTTTTAAATAGCAGATAATATAAAAATATAATATACAAAAGTGAAAGAAAAAAAAAAAAGACCAGGTATTATAGAAAGAAAATTTAAAGCAGAAGGCTATCAATTCAAAGGTTACCGTCATAATGCTGTCCAAGTCTCAGAGGAAACAAGGATAACCAGAGACCTACCTTCAATTGGCACTTGAATTTTCTGCAGTAGCCACAGTCTGATTTCTGATTGATTGTCTAACTGTGTTTCTTGACAGGTCTTGTCTATAGCTGGTACTAATGAAGAGTCCACAGACTCTTTCAGATCCTTTTCCTCTGCTGCTGCTGAGCTGATTCCTAATGAAGGTGCTTTCCTTTCAACGCAGCAGGAATCAAGCTCCATACTTTTAACTGTATGGACTTCATTAGCTTGGGACTTTGAACAGCTAAGTGTAAGGTCTATGCCAATTGCTTTATTGTTTTCACCTTTCTGGATTTCAGCCTTGTGTAAGTCTTCAGATGACTGAGACCCATTCCCATCTTTATTGAGGTAAAATTCAATAAGTTTATCTTTCTCTAGCTCTTTCTTAGTGTCCAATGCAGTCTCCACCTTACCTGTAGGGGAACTGACACATTTGTTTACTTCTGGAATAACATCTTGCTTTTCACACAGCTCTAAGTCTAAGTCAGCTTTAGGTTCAACACTGTCCTTTTTTTCCAAGGAATCAACTGTCAAGTGCTCCTGGACTTCTGTAGTGGGTTTGGTTACCTGCTGCTTAGTTCTCCCCAACTCCCTGGGGTCAGCCAGCAAGCCTTCCATTACTGAGATTTTCCTGTCCAACCCTCTATCCATACGAGATGACGTCTTTTCCAGCTCAATGAAGTCATCCTCTCCTTCTCCCAAAAGGGATTTTTCTTTGGTTTTGATGTCTGAAGCACTTTTTTCCCTAGAAGGTTCCTTAGTACATGGATCCGCAGCAAACTTTTCCAAATGTTCATTGGCAGTGATATTGTTGGGAAACTCCAGTGACTTTGATTTGATTGAGCCTGTACTCTCAGATGACTGAAGAACTTCAAAATCAGCAGACTTTTCCTTATCTGAAGCCTTTATCTGTTTGGCACCCAGCGCAATGGATGGATCCCCATTCTGCTGCCTCTTTTCCTTGCTAAGAGATTTGAATTTGCTGAAAGGATTGATATCTTTCTCAGAGGATAGGTCTTCCCATTCTCCTGGCCTGTACAGAGGACAAAGATCCTTTGGTATGTCACTGTCAGGGAAAATGATGGATGTACATAGGATGTTAAAAGCAAAATGGAAACAGAAGAAAAAAAAACGAACAAACAAAAAAAAAATGAAAACGGAACACTAAGTAATATACCAAGTTAACTTAACCTCTGAAACTCAATGAAAAATTATTTTCTCCAAAATAAACATACATCAGTGGAAATAAGTGACTTTAAAGGAAGCAGAGAAAAATGTGGAATGGAAAATACCGAAATAAAATGAGTAAACCACTTGGCTGAATATGCCACATGGATGAAGAAATGATACACGTGTAATAACAATGTGCAAGTCATCAGAAGTTCGGTAATCAAAAAACCACAGGACATGTATTTAGCTGCTGGAATTTCATTCATATCATATCGTTATTTCCCACACCTGACAATGAGTTGACCTCTACAACTCTCCATGGTTCCCTAGTCAGTGCAAACGTATTTTTGAGAAGAAAGCATATCGGATATAAGCTGTACCCTTTTTGAACATGTTTACTGCAAAACAGTACCTGACAACAGAGTTGGGTTCTTTCCCTCTTATTTTTCTTTATTACTCAAATGTACTGTTTGAATGCAGACTTCCCCAAAGATTTCTTCTTAAAGCAGGATAATCATAAAACATTTCAAAATGGAAAAATCTTAAAAAACTTAACAGCATACGACTTGAGCTCTTAATTGCTACTAAAAAGTCTGAGGTGAATGAGAATACAAGATTCCCATCACTTAAAAGGTACTAAGTAGTTACTAAACAGTCTAGTAATGAGCGTAACACAAATATCTGGAAAGTTTTTCTTGAAATGAGAAAATGGGAGGGAAGTGAATTAATTTCATTGATCAAACAGGTGTTGCCTATAAAGACAAAACCTTGCTTAGAACAAATACATAAGCAGTGCCTAGGCTATGCATAAATGAAAGCAGCCCACCCCAGAAAGTCTGTTCTGTATTATAAATGCTAACTATCAACGCATTTCTAGTTCTGAAATGGAAGTCTTCCACAAACTGGTATTTCTCTAAGTCCTGAAGATGGTAGTTAAGGTGCTGTTATCTTCAAAAGTTTACAATACTCCTCTCAGAACAGTCCAAGTAACACAACAAAAGGTCCAAATCTAACCCGTTTCACTTTCAGTGAAACAACCCTAGAGATGGGTCAGTGCATGAGCCCAACCATGGCATGTCAACGTTTTTAATCACTGTTTTTCATTGGTCTCCTTTGCACTTTGGTTCTCATATTCATGACTCATTTCTCGTTATTGCCACTGAAGTGTTCTAAAAAGAAAGCGCAAATTCACACACAATTATTCTTTTGCTGGCACTTTACCCCCTTGATTTGTTTTATTCTGCTGCGCTAAAACTCTGCCCCTCCGTGTCTGTGCTTCCCTCCCCACCCTGCCTCTTTTTCATGACCCTTACTGAGAATCTGTAAACATAAGTTCAGGGAAGAACACTCCTTACGATGGCAATGCGTCTTTAATCTTCATGTGAGAGATGTCATTGTAGAGAGCTATTGAGACAACCTCCTCCATGGGGCAGATGAGCCCATATTCTTCACAGCCATTCTCAATTACCAGAGGATCAGACTTATGTGGGTCAAACATGATATTGTTTGGAGTTACTATCATGACTCCTCCAACTACACCCTAAAACAGGAGAAGGAAGAGTTAGCACATCACATGTAGTTCACTTATCATTTGGTATTGGATTTTAGGCTATTATCCTAAAACCAGAAACCTCTCTCCTGCCTCTCTATACGCCATCATGCAGTGTTTGCTAACAAAACATTTTGGTTTCCAATTGCATGAATTCAGACATTGTAAAAAGAGCAAATAAAAAGACCACTTAGTAACACCCAAGCTCCTGGCTGATAAGGAAGAACATCTGAACTATTCAACTTTCAGTGCTGGCTGCTACAAGCTAAAACTGCAGGCTGTTAATCTATCTCAGACAAAACAGAATAGTGGATTAAAAAAAAAAGTACCGTTTTATTCTAAATGCAGCCACCTTTATTTGACATGTGAATTTATATGCAACCAGCACACCTGAAGGCAGTCTTACTAATGGAAATGTCAAGGTTACTACGCTGAGCTACATGATAGGTCCCCTTGATCTACTCTCCCAGAAGTACATGCAAAAAGCTTCTGTATATAGGGACCTGATATGAAACAGCTTCTCCCTGATCCAGAAGCAGCTTCTACCACTGATCCAAGCATGTTTTGCACAGCTGTAGAAGATGCATTTTATTCTTCAAAACGTGCTCTAGCCATGGATTTGATAGGAGGCTGCATTAGCCATTATTCAGCACTCAACCCATGGAAACTGCACGTTTTTCAAGGTTTAAAAGGAGAATCCCAGTGTTTTGCTCCTGTACTGTCTCTTCCAGACGAACTACAAAAGTCACCAAATCAACTCAGAAGCTCTGTGTAGATAATGACATCTGACAAACAAGAGCCACAGCCACAGATCAACAGGAACAATCTATACTGTAGATATTATTCATTATACGAGGTCATCTGTAAGGGAAGCCAAGGAAGGCTAAAGGACGACAAGCTTGGTTTCTTTTTTTTTTTAATCAAGGAAATGCCAAGCTGATGGCTTGGCACTAGCAAATGAGTACATGTGTGCCTGCTCCTTTGTAAAGCAAAGTCTGTATGTATTTCCCATTTGCCTCTCCTGTATGACTCGCATACATGTTCCTGGTTTGTGTTTGGATGAAAGAATCACAATGAAGTGCAGAGGCTTCTCCCACAGGTACGTAACTCTATTTAGCCAGAAAAGCAATACATCAGTAAGCTGTACTTCCTACCCAGTTGCTGCAGGAAGCAGGGCAACAAGGGATTTCAGCTACACTGGCAAAGAAGCCGTCCCACTTTCGATTGTTCTGACTGCAAATTACTTTTTCAGTCCTGCAGCCACAAAATTTGCAATCTGTATCCTCTGCACCTAGCAAGCAGCACATAACAAAGCGACAGCATTACCCTGATTTACATGCGATACATCAAGTAGCCCTCTATTACTTTCTACAAAACAGCAGACTGAAAAATTGCAGAGTGGCTAAATACAGTCTGCATCCACTGGACGCAAAAAGAAGCCAAGAACTGCAGGTGTAAACACATCCATCTCACAAAAGTCAGGACTAAGGGAAAAATATGGTTAAACTACAATGGTTAGCATCTCCACTGTTATAAATTCCAGACTTGAAAACCTAAACATGCACACATCTAACTAAAACTGGAGTCAACAGAAGTGCATATATCAAAGCAGACAGTTCCAGGAGACAGTGTCCTGCAACCTTGAGAAGAAAAGAGGTTAAAATATTGCCCAAGCTTTGTGCCTTGGCTTCTAAAACAGCTGCTGTAAAATTTAGGGTTGCAGTCCCAGTGGGAACACGTATGTTACAAGAACACTTTTAAGAAAAAGAAAGAAAAGGTCATATCATGCAATATTTATATTTTTATTAGGGTTTGCATGACATTCATTAGCAAGTGCCGAAGCAACATTGATGTTTGGAAACACTGCTCTGGAAACAGTTAAAATTTAGCTTAAAGTCATAAATGAAATAGATAGGCATGTGCTCGTTTTATAAAGCTGTTGCATAATCTGATGGAACTGGACAACTAATCCTGACACGTCATAACTCTAAAGCACAGTTCTCTGTGTATCCAGCAATACACTCTTAAAACAGGGAATTCTGGTAACACATGGTAAGGGAATGAAGACGAGCAGAAGAGCTATTCTTTCGTAAAGCAATTATCATAACAGATTAAACAACTGAAAGAACAAAAAGATGCAGCACATTACCACAGTATCAGTAAACACAGCAGCGGAAGATAAAGCCACTATAACATTCACATTCCTCACAAACATGGAGCACGTTTCACTGCCCTGGTATTCATCTCTCAGTTATCCAAACAGATTTTGCTTTTTCAGAATCTCAAACAATGCCCAAAAGCTAGGCTCCACCTACCTTACCATCTGTGAAGTAACGACAATTCATTTTTAAAAATTTGACAACCACAGGCTCATCCTCTTCTGAAGTAGAGGACAGGACTCTCTCAACGGGTTTGAAGGCCTTTCTTGCCAAATCAGCATCCTTAAAAAAGAAAAAGATCAGTGCAGAGCAACAGGTCCATGTATGTATGTATGTACACTTCCCGCAGTATCCTGTACGGAAGAAAAACCTCGTAACGTTACAAAAAAGCTCCATATAAGTAGCAAAGAAATTAAATGCCAAGGCAAGTCAGCTCACCAAATTTCAATCTGGTGCTCTCATTAAGAGAGAGCCCATCCCGCCACGTCATCTACACCAAAGACCTCTGCACACAGTGTACTGGTGTGATCCCGCATGCAGGTGGCACAGAGGTGTAAGGCTAAGGGGTTGAACACAGCTATTCACTTCAAGCTTCTCTCCACTTTCCTTTTTATTAGTTACCAATTTGAAATGTCTATTTGCTTTCCCATCAGCAGGTGGACAGCTAAACTCTCTAAAACTACTATCTAAAATCACCACGGCAACTCATTCTTCTAGGAAAATGAGAGATGAGCTAAGCCAAGGCCTTTCATCAAGATTAAATCCAGCAGTCTGGTCTACGTAAGACAAGTCTATTTATGGGTACTACCACATACACTTAACTAGAAAGAAACTGACTGCTCAGACTGAACTAACAGCACCCGTGCTCAAGGATCCCAATGCAGGACCAAGGCTCTGAACCGCAGAGCAGCACAGAAATCTCCAGGGGAAACACTAAATAATTCTTCCTATTTCACTTTCTATTCATTAAAAACTATACACTACACCATTTTTAACCGCTTTCATAGACTCAAGGCCCAACTGAACTTGCACTGGGTTTCTACGCTCAGACAGAACTCCCTTAATTTGGAGCATTTTAAAGAGATGGTAAATTTTGAAGTATCACAGATTAGTGTTACTCAATATACTACACGGAAGGTCTGAACTGTAACCTCAAAAACTGCTATTTACACAGCCGTGAATCTCAGTTTCAGAATTAAGAAATTTTTGTTATTAGTTTAAAGACCACTGGACCACTGTTTGACTTACAGGGAGTTTATCATATTCAGCATCTGATGATGAAGGAGAAACAGGAGCACCAGGACTGACAGAAGACAGCCTCGCAGCGCTTGCTTCTGGCACAAAGAGAATCTAAACACAAACATATGTTAGAACAGTGAGACGCAAGCTTCAAAAAAGTTCAAAAAGTTATTCATTAAAGTACTATGTTCTACTAGAAAGACAAGCCAATATTGATCACTTGTCATTGCAATGCACTCCTTAACAACTACTTATTCCAGAGTCCTCCTTCATAGGTGGTGATGGTGGGGCACATGCAGGTCTCATTAATTACAAGATCTAGCTCTCCATTTTGTTTTGCAGCACAAGCAAGAAAACAAAACATTTTCCACAGAGTAAGAACCTCCTTCTTCCCCACAAATTTACAATCCCAGGTTGTCTTGCAACTTTGCAACTACAAAACAAGTAACTGTAAAATTACTATTAAGTCATTAACTTTTAATAGCAAACTCTGATCCAAAGAGAAGGCCACTGCTGAAGATGGGGGATTTTTAGTGCTAGAAGTTTGTAACACTTCACTATAGGTTGTTTCCAAAAACATACCTGCATCTCCACATTTAAGAAAATATTTTTTAATATGAACCAGCATTTTAGCATCATGTACTGCATTTAAAAGAAAAAAAACTCCACACCCTTACATTAATACAAGTGTATATAAAGATGTAATGCTTTATTTGAATTTTCACATTCCCTCAGAGTAAACACCCCAGATTTTCAGTACAGCAGTACTAAAATTGTAGTACAGCTTTGGACCTCCACCTCAAATAGAGAGTCATTTGTTGCAAGTGTCACAGCAAAGAAAGATACTTTCAAAGTCAAAAAAAATGTCTTTTCGTCTGTTGGGTATTCTTAGGCAAGTCGCACCATCTCTTTGTGCCTCAGTTTCCCAGTTTGTACATCAGGACACCTCAATCTGCTTCATGGAAGCAGACTTAGAGATCTGCTCTTCTTGAACCAGGTGCTAGCCTTCACATTTGCATTTCCATTACTTGACTCTCCCAAAATCAGTCTATCTCCGTTTACTTCTCATCTTACAGGAGAATGACTCATCCCTAACATAATGGCAAAGAGCCATTTCAATTACTGTATCTGACTCCCTAATTCTTTAATGTATTATATATAGCACTTATCTAGGCTTCCCTAGAGTCCAACTCTTGCAACAGCTACAATACCCTCTCGAGCTTCAGAGTCATCTTCAAGCTTTAAGTAAATAAATAACAAAAGTCAGATACAGCAATTACAAAGCTCCTCTCCCAACTCCAGGTAAGGACCTAGTGAGTTCTCCTTTGAAGGATTTAAATTACTATCATCCTTGTATCTAAGTACCTAAAAGATATGTGAAAGTAGTAAAAAGCTTTTAAATTCATAGCAAATAATCGGGTTTCAGGTATATAAAAAAAAACCCAAACATAAAAGATTTACCTGGCCTGGCACAATCGTCTGTGTGAAAAGCTTGTTGAGCTCCACAAGCTTGTTTGGGGTGACGTTAAACTTTAATGCTATGCTGTTTATGGTGTCCTGATTTCCAGCCTGAAGAAAGAGTTAAAGCTTAAGATACAGTAGTGAACACATTCAGCACACCAGCTGAACTAAAACCACCTAACAGACTGTTTGCAGGGAATAGATTTGATGATCTCAACGCACCCTCTATTTAATAGCTTACGTGATAAGTCAGTATCAATTAAAAAAAAAAAAAATTCTTGTACTATACAGCAGATAAAACGGAGAGGCATTACAGATGTCCCTCTCCTTTTCTTATAAACCTTTAAAGCAGCATCACCAAGTAAGTTCTAAATAAAGAACTAGTCCAGGAAGTGGCAAAGGGACACACACTGGAAAGTTCATTACACCTTTAGTAGCCACAGCACATCAGGCATTTGTGCTGTTCCCAGCTGTGACACTCGCCTTCCATAGTTGTTCTGCATGATGGAGAGCGGGGTGCAGCTCCCGTTCAGGGACCTGGCTGCCTCACACAGCTTTCTGGGCACAGCTAGTCCTCTGAGCCACCGCAGCAGCACACTGCCACCCTGCTCCGGCTTAGAGAAAGAGGTGCCACATCATCTCGGGACCAAGCACAGCCCAACCACTTGATCATAGAATCACAGAATGGCATAGGCTGGAAGGGACCTCAGAGATCATCTAATCCAACCTCCCTGTCATGGGCAGGGACGCCTCTCAACTAGACCAAGCTACTCAAGGCTCCATCCAACCTGGCCTTGAACACCTCCACTTGATGACCTAAGCAATACTGTGGAATGAAAGAATTTTTCAGAAAAACAAAGCCAATTGCTCTACTAAAGAGTCATGGTGCAGAAGTAAAATAGGACTGGCAGCTGTGAGAAGAGGTAGAGGACTTGGGTTGAACAGTGGTTCAGGACATGAGCCTAGCTCTCCCAATATGATGATATCTGGAGCAATCCCCATTGAGATAGGTGCAAACTACAGCCAGTGTTCACTTAGTGCTTTCAGTTTTGTGCCACTGGCTCCCTTTCAACCTCAATGACTCCACTTTCAAAAAGCAGACATGAACAAACCACACACCAATACTTACAGTATATTCTATGGTACCATGGGGTTTCTGAGAAACCATTTTTTTCTCTTTCTTTTCATTGGTTTTGTTCTGATTGTCATCTAAAGAGGGGGGAAAAAAAAAGATTCATGTAGTTGACTTTCAAGACGCTTGCCTATCAACATGTTTTGAAAGAGATCTACAGGATGTTCAAACTGCAGCCGTGGAAAGGAACAAGACGACACATCAAAAATATCTATGAGGCCTTAAAATTGCATGGCAAGGCAAGCAAAACTTCATCAAGTACAACAGGTTTAGTAACTATTGAGGAACTCTTCAAAAGTAACGTGTACATGATATCATATCAATATAGAACTTCTCCGCTATGCTTCTCACAATTCCTACACAATCCCGCTGTTGGATACAAGTACTTTTTGTGATGAGCTGCTATCAAGGCTGAGGCAGAAACCAGCAGATGAATGCACGCAGCGATACTGCATCGGTACAGCTACAACGAACACTGGTTAATCGCCACTTGCCACCAGTACATTGGATAAAAGTACTATTTTAAACTCCGAAGGTAAAAGTGTGCCGAAAGTGCCGCAAAACACGCACACATGCCGCACGCTGCCAAGCACCGGAGAGCTGCAGCACGCCGAACTCACCGCACTTGCAGCACCCGACGGGCACCGGGGAGCTCTCCGGAGCGCAACAGGGTCCCCACGTCCCCCCCTTACCGCAGCAGAGGGTGAGGGGGCCGCCAGCAGCGCGGCCC